AGGCTTTCTGAGGAATGTGCTGAGCTGGGCTCATCCTGCTCCAGATTTGCTGCTCTCCACAGCATAGGAGCTCTCTTCATCAGAGGTGGCAGATTATGAAACAGAGATAAAAACTCCCTTTAAATTTGTCTTTTCCTTATGTTTCTTAGCCAAGAAATGAGCAGAAAGAGGCGTTTGTTCAGGATTTCTGGTGGAGGCATGCTGCCTGCATGTATATTGCATTGAGACAGCACTCCCTGGGAGTGATCAGAATTAGTCACAGAGATGAAATGCATGTGGACAGAATTGGTTAGCAGCCTTCTGAAAGCCTCCTTCTTTCTTTGATATGCTCCCTGTGGTTTTGAAGTGCATCACTACCATGTTTGATATTTTATTAACAATAATTGTACTTCCCTCTTTTCTTTTGAGCATTTCAATGAGTTTTAGAAGTATTAATTGGTAACTGCCCTTTGACTCCTATGAAGAAAATGAAAATAAGGTCTTGTCAAATGTGTTTGTTGAAAAAAAAGTACTAAGAATAATACTGAGAATATTAAGAATACCACTGAGAATAAACAGTTCAGTAGTGATTATTGAGTCATCTCTACAAGCCAACACAAGTGTCGTGAGTAATGTCCAAGTCCAATAATTTTGTGGTTTGTACTTTCTTGTTCTTCAGAGATGTCTGTGTTCTCTGAAATCCTGGGGGGCTGCCTTGCAGCTCTACACAGCATGTTCTTCTGGGATAAAAATCCTACAGATGGCAAGGAAATGGTCACAGAACCTTCATGTGGCCAGTTCTTGAGGTCATTAAGAGGCATTCTAGACCTGGGCACCTGAGGACTGCTGTCATCTGTAGGTATGTCATTATGGATGACAGGAAAATTCACAGAAAACTCCTGGAGGTTGTTCCACCAGGGAGCCCTGTCCCATTGTGTCTGTGCCTGTACTGGGAGACAGAGAAAGTGAACCAGAGCAGCACTGATGTTTCTGGGGAGAAATAGCTGTAAAGAAATTAGGATATGGTTGGAAACACACATGCCAAACTGCTGATAGGAGGAAACACAGAGCTGTGTGGTTTTCAACATTCATCCCCTGTCCTGCTCTGTACCTGGCTGGCCCATGCTCTCCCTTCAGTGTGCAGAAACTGGTCTGTGTCAAAGACCTTCCTGTGATGCTGCTGCTGATAATATGTTTTTCCCTCTGGAGGGTTTTCTTATTTAAAAGGGAAGATGTAACTGAATTTCAACCCCAAACACCGACAGCCCTGAAGTCACAGATCTGAGTAGGTTTACAGGTGATGGGCTATGAATTTATGGGCTTTGCTCTCCACAGATTTTCTCCCTCTCTCTCATTGCATTTCTCTCTGAAATGGCTTTCCTGATGTGTCCAGCATAGAATTCATTTACTGTGATCTTCACATTTTGAAAACTCTTCACTCCCTGCTCTTCTAATGACTTGGCTTGCAGAGAATCCATCAATTATAAAATATTTTAAGGCATTTCTTGAGTGTTTCTGTCAGTATAATCTCAGCTGCATGTTAAGTGTACTTTAAACCTGAGGTGAAGGTTTATTTAGTGCAAGATGAATATTAAAATATACAGGAGAGAATTCTTATATTCTTTCTTTTTGCTGCTCTTGGGCACTTGAATGCAAATACAACAGGTTTCAGTAGATCTAGGGAGGAATAGATTGAGTTAGGGTTGGTTAAGATTTTTTGTGAATTTTCTTAAATGTGGAAGCCACTCTGCAAACAAATGTTTATCCTCTGGATTCCTGAGCACTGGAAAAAACAGGACTGAAAGGCACCACTTTAACCCTCAGCATTTGTTCAGCACCTGCTCACAGATGTGTCTGAATATTAAGGAGAAATTCATATGGTGCTCAACAGCATAAAAAGTGTCAGGATGTGTGTGAACAAGCAGGAGGAAATATCGATGTGAGCGTGTAGGAGGGGAAAGACTATTACAAGGGCAATCCAATTAATGCAAATGATGCATGCAGATGTCTGGGGCTTTTTAGTGCTGTACTCCATAAGAGCTGTGCATGAGGGGTGAGGGAGGGGAGTGCTGCCTTCCCTTGTGTGGCAGGGCTGCTTTCAGACCTGACATCCCACTCCTGCCAGGAGATGGAGAGGAGACACCTTCCCTCGCCTGCTGGTGGAGCTGCCAAAGAGGAATGTGAGTGAAACAGCTCCTAAAGCCAGGGCTGCTTTCAGGAGGCATCTTAATCTCAGCTTCTGCAAACAGCAGTGTGTCTGTTGACTCCTGGCACTCCAGGGCACCACTGTCACTGCTTCAAAAGTCAAACAAGATAATTGAAAGGCAGCCCCAGGTTTTTGGGGCTGTATGCTCAGGGCCAGGGTGTTTGATTTCCTTTGGTATTGGCTTAACAGGACTGTTCACCTAAAGGAATCAGGGTTTGAGGTGGAAAATAGACACCCTTGCAACTACATATTGATCCTTGGAGCTGGATCTTGTCCGTCCTTATGATGTACCTTCTGGAAAAATGTTTCTTCTCTTATCTCGGCGTCTGGTGAATTGTGACTTTCCTTAAGGACAAGGCCTGGCCACTTGGTTTTTCAGATGAGATACATGGAAAACACAAATATGTGGCCTGAGCAGCTCAGAATTTTTGCTTTTTATTTCTTTCTTTATAAAATCTCATTCTCAGGAGACCAAGCAGACTCTGACCTTGCTCTTCTGAAGTGAATAAAAACTCTGCTGTTGATTCCAGTGAATGCAGGACAAGCACAGTGGGCACTGTAGGAAACCAATGGAAATTTTCTCCTGTTTACTCCAAAGAGTTTTGATTCAGGCTATAGCACTAAAAAACCACAAAATAAAGTAAATATTAAATTTATTTCATAAATAAACAGCCTCTCTTCAATAACAATCTCATTTTAGAAAATATTTTCTGTCAGAAGTTGTGCCACCTTTTCTCCAAGCATTGTCATGTCAGGTATTTTGAGGAACAATACTTTGGGATGAAGTGAGAAATTTGCTTTCTCTTTTGTGTGTTTTCCATATTGACTTACAGAGAAGCTGTTGTTCTCCTGACTAGTAGCTGTTTTCATTTTTTCCTTGTTTATTATTAAGTACTTGCATGAAAAGTCAGTCTCCCAATAAACTTATTACAGTGGCTCTGAAGATACTTTTATGTTGTCTTCAGCATTTTGCCAACTTGCTGTAAAATACCTTATACATTTTTCTTCTGTAGCAAATTTTGCTTAAAAGTAGTGTAGCTTTGTCCTCAGGGAAAGAAAAAGGAAAGAAACCTCAAAAAGCTCTGTGTAGATATAATTTTTAAAAAAGTTGAGTGCTCAAGTAGAACACCACATTTCCTCTCCAAGATTGAATATGCATACTTTCTTGTCCATTGAGGTTGTTATGAATACAAATTTGGCAAGAAAATCCAGGCAGCCAAGTGTTTTCACAAGTATTTCAGCTGTGCTTGAAATACTTGTGAAACCAAAACATACACAGCAAGGAACACTGCCAAGTCAACTTTTTAAAAAAGTTATATGTATGTATTTAATACTTTTTTTTTAAGAACTCCCCCCGTAGAAGTATAAATTGCATTGCTAACTCTTTTTGAAAGTTAAGATCTCACACTAATCAATTCATAACATTTTCTGCACAAAAATTACCGTGATCTTTATCCCTCAGGAAAATTTCATTTGTAAAGGTGTGCCTGATGTTAGTTAGCAGCAGATACTGTAAAAAACAAAAAACCCCAAAATATCCAAACAAAAAGCTCCATACATGGCAAACATGGAGTGAGGAAGAAGCAGGATAACTCTGAGGTTTGTCACTTGGAGGATTTTCTGTTTGTGGAGAGTTCTCTGCCTTTCCCCTGCATTTCTTTTTTCTCTGTGCCTTTGATATCAGCCACACCTACACCAATATCTGGGCTGTCTCTCTTCTCATGCTTTGTGCTGCTTTGATGGTGACTATTTTTGTTATTCTCAGTGTTGTCTCTGTCTCTCTCTCTTATGAAATAACTCACCCTGCTCTGTAGTGCTGTTAATTTACAAGGTGCTTTACAAACACAGATAAGAGCCATCCAAGGCTCTACTCTAAATAAGACAAGACAAATGCAAGATGAAGCACTTGAAGGCTGCTCAGGAAAGTGAGGACATGGAAATGACTTTATGCAAGGAGCTGAGGGCTTGTGAAGTGGAGTTTTTGAGAGGAGGTTTAGGCAGGATGGAGAGGAAGTTTGGCAGGGGAGGAAAATGATCAGCTGCAAGGAGCACTGAGGTGAGATGTGAAGGCAAGAGCAAAGGAGGGGAAAACCAACTTGGGGAAAAGCAGGAGCACACAATATTTGTCAGAGGTTTGTTCAGAATGGTCTGGGAGGGAACTGAAGAAATCCATACAGTTTGGGTATGTTTTTTTTTCCTTATGGACAAAACTAGACTATCTCTGACAGCTTTACAGCCTACCTTGTTCTCAGCCTGTCTGTGATGACAAGCATAGCAAGCAGTGCTTACATGTGGATGTGTCAAAAAGTTTCCCTACTGTTTAAGATGTCTCTCTTGTATTAAATATTACCCTATCCACTGTGTCCATTTATGAAGGGAAAGATCTAAATATAAAACCTGATGGATGTCAGGAAGTGAAAGGAAGATGAGTGTGCTCTTTTTGCCTTCATCATTTAACTGATTACTCCGACCTGCTCTGGTTTTGTAGATTGGGAAGATAGATTGGAAAACTGACTTACAAAAACTAATTTCATAAGAACAGTATATAAATTCAGGGAATGAGCCAGATCCTGTTGGAACTCTGGCTGCTGAGATTTTAGGCTTTCTGTGCTGGCAGACACTGACCCCCAAGAGAACACTGCATTTGACCTAAGGCCTTGGAGAAAACTTCCAAAAAGCTTCACCTTCTAATAAGATGAAGGTGATGAAGTCCTCCTCATAATTCCTCCCTGCCCCCAGAGTCATCCCATTTCGATGGTTTCTCACAGGCACTGATGTGTTTTTTCTCTCCCTCTCTCACCTCTGGGGCTGTTAGGGCAGCACCAGGTGAAGCAGGGCACGTGTGAGGTGGTGGCCGTGCACCGGTGCTGCAACAAGAACCGGATCGAGGAGCGCTCCCAGACCGTGAAGTGCTCCTGCTTCCCGGGCCAGGTGGCCGGCACCACCCGGGCCCAGCCCTCCTGCGTGGAAGGTGAGTGCTGGGTTGTCATTTCAGGCTTTACCCCAAAACCTGTGCCCCTCCCCTGAAGATTCCCTCCCAGGTGTGTCAGTCATCCCTCATTTGCCCTCCCTGACCTCTGCCAAGCACTGTCTGTCAGTCCTGCAATTCCAGAAGGGCATTGAGTGATTGGCAGAATCAAAGGATGCCCTCTACCCCTGGGGGGCATTGGGCCATCCTGGTGTCCTTGGTCCCTTGAGACCTCCTCTCATGTACCTGGTTGGTGGCTCCCTGCCCCTTCCCTGCCCCTCTCCCCGGGGTTCAAAGGAGCAGCAACCATGGGCTTAGGGAGTTCTGTTGGAGCTGTTGCTGGATCCCAAGGCCTGTGGGCCAGAATAAAGCTCTGGATCCAAACCCTCCATCAGAACCCACTCCTTTCCTTCACCATCGCTTTAAAGGTGAAGGAAATAGGTAAAACCAGAGGAGCAGCCCCTGTTATGGGGGGAAGCTCCATCCCAGCACCACCAGAGCTCCTGCAGGCCTGGACTTGTCTCCACAAGCCCAGCTGCAGCATCCAGGTAGCTAAAAGTGTCTGTGGGGTGAAACACCACACACCCAGCCAGCCAAAGGTGTCTGTGGGGTGAAACATCACACACCCAGCCAGCCCAAAGTGTCTGTGGGGTGAAACACCACAGTGCTGCTGTTTGGTTCAGCAGCAAGGGCCAGACAAGCTGAGGCACATCCTGTCCAGCTATATTGGTAAATATTCCTATAGTGAGAACCTCTGCTCACTCCTGCCTCCTTAAGATTGTTTGAGTTTATTCTCCTTGATGTCTGACTTCTCACTGCCTCAAAAAGGCGTAATCCTTCCTTTTGTTAATTTTAGAGACATCTCTGTGCGTTGTTGATAATGAGCCTGTGCATAAATCTTGGTGTAATTAATCCTCTTAATATATGTGCTGGTCCATTTCATGTCTGTGCCAATAAAACTTCTTAATTTTTTCCCACAGAAGAATTCTCCTCTAAAACTAGTTTGAAAACAGCATAAGCCAAGAAATTCAAGCTTATGATATTAACTTTTCCAGATGTCTTAAGACTTAGTAGCTTGGCTAAAAATTCACTGGATAATAAATGCAACCCTAAGACTGGGAATGCAGATGGGGCTGGGACATCTGACATGGAGAGCTTTTCTCTAAATCAATATTCACCATTTAATTTGTCTATGTTTTGTAGGGGTTGCTGCTCTTGTTAAGTTAGTAAATCTACTCCAAGACATATTTTAAAGTTACCAAAATCCCTCATTCCATTAATTCACAAGCAAGATCCTGTTTTTATTCTTTTGTACCTATAATCGCAACCAGTTCACTTAAACATAGAAAAAAAAAGCTTTTAAGTCCAATTCTAATCTAATATTCAGAAATATTTAGTGTCAGACATAGAACTCTGTTCTATGTGAATGTAAATATGTTCTATGTAAATCTGTGTTCTATGTAAACATGAATCTGTTTTTTAATTTTTTTTACCTATTACGAAGCTGTCAAAACAGATACCCTTTAAAAGTAGATTTAAAAAAATAGATGCCTAGTGTTTTTATGCTTTATAATTCAGCAATACAGTTAAGTTTAACAATGCATTTTCTTAGGGAGTTTTTGTGTTAAATCAGAAGTGTCTTCTGCATTTTTACGTGACATATCAAATAGCAGAAATACTTTTACATGTAACAGATAATAGAAGTCAGGCATTATTTTAAACTCACTTAAAGACTGCAAAAGTGGCAATGTCATTCTATGGCAGAAATATATAAATACTGCAGAAGCTTGATTCAGCCAACAGTTGCTGAAGGAATTTAGTTTTTTTTTTATTCAACTATAGTTGCAATTAAGTGTAACAGAATATTATGAATGTAAGATTTTGACTGTTCAAGTGGAAGCTTTTGATTCCCCTCACTCCTTAGGGTAATGCTTTAGCAGGCTGTGCTTATTTTTGCCAGCATCTGGGACTGGAGTGTGTTGCTGCAGCACAGAAGCTGAAACTCCCTTTCCTCAGCCTCAGGATCTGATGTGTTTTCTCCCACTCTGTACATACCCTGCAGTAGACTCCTACTCTGTGAAAGCAAGAAACTGTTTGAGTCTTCAATTTGCATACTACAGACTGATACAGACATTTAGGGGCTTTGTCCTGAGTGCAGGCTTTATCAGAAATGATCTCTCACCTCCCAGGAAAGCACAGTCAGGTTTCACCCATTTTTTGTCCACAATCAATCAGTATCAATGCAAATGATCTGAGACCCAGATGAAAGTTCATACATTTATTTTGTAATGCTATAAGACAGAAAGATTAGTTTTTAAAAGCCAAAGCTGTGTTACAAAAGTGTGTCTTTTCATAACATTTTTCAGTAAAAGTGCAAAACAAAAGTAATTGAATGAACATTTCAGCAATATCCTGATGTCAACTTCCCTGCTTGACACCCCAATTTAAAGGTTGCAGAAGAACAAATGTCTTGAAATTAAAAGGGAAAAAAAGTGCTTTACAAGAAGTAGACTCCATTATTTTTGTTCATCTCATCTGAATGTGTTATCTTTTAAGGCATGTGTTTCAATAGTTTGTGCACATAGTAGCATAATGCAGACTGGCTGAATCCACATCTTAAGCCATGTTTTATTTTGAAATCCAATATAGATTATGTAAGATTATGTACTGATATGTTTCATAACAATTTTCTGGGATTTGATGAGTGCCATGAACAATGCAAAACTGAGAAATGCGTGCAGGTGTTTGTGCTGTTAACAGTGGGTTTATAAGGTCATGACTGCATTTCTAAAAAGAATAGGCATGGTCTTAATAGAAATTGGCTTAAGGGTAGAGAATTAATAAATTTGCCCAGTTAAGGTGTACAACTGTGGCCTTCCAAAACATATTGCAGAAGTGGCAGTGTGACTGCAAATGGATTTTTAGTCAATATTCTAGTGCTTGCCAGAGGTTTCCCTGTTCTTACCTGCAGTATTTGCTGACACACCTCTGGGGTTTACATCTCTGTGCAATTCTATTTTCTCACCCAGTGAAGGAAGAAACTGGCATTTCTCTGTCCAGTCTCCCATATACATGTGTGGATTAAACAAGAAGTTTCAGCTTCATCCCCCCTTACAGCAGGTAATTGACTGAAGCATGCAAATGAAGGAGAAAAGTTATTTTTGTAGTCAGTGGAGATGGAAAGGCACTTCCAGAGGTCAATTCAAATGTTGGAATCAGTCTCTGTTGGTGCCTGCTCTTTATCATTTGGATATGGCATTTACCCTTCTGAGAGCTGTGAAGTGTTTAGTCGCTTTTTTACCTCAAACACACTCTATATAATTAACTACTAAACTAGTCGTTGTTTTTACCTTTTGAAATCAACTAATTGAACATGGCACAGATAACCTCCCTGCAATAAAGCAAGGGTGACAAAAAAAGATAAACAATATCTTTCCTGCTTCTTTTTCAGCTTCCATTGTCCTGCAGAAGTGGTGGTGTCACATGAACCCCTGTTTGGATGGAGAGGACTGTAAAGTACTACCAGACTATTCAGGTTGGTCTTGCAGCAGTGGAAATAAAGTCAAAACCACAAAGGCAAGTACAGAGATCACCTGTATTTGAAAGTGCCTGTCTGCTGATTGCTCTTATTGCATTGTGTCTGTGGGTGTGAGCACCAGTCTTGGCCTTCTCAAAGTTTTGGAAAGCTGTGATTAATTAGTTGCTCTCAGAGAGGAAATATTAGGTCAGAACTGCTCCTTCACTCCTGCAGTCCCACTGAAAATGGCCCTGATTCAGTCTGCAGTGAGCCAATGAAATTATTTCATTGTGCTCAGTGATAGAGGGATAATCATGTTCCAGAACCAATTCTTCAATTTGCAGGCTGAGTATAGGGATCCAAAAGCTTTACCACTGTCACATAAACTTAGATTCCTGTGCTGGACAGCCTTTTACCTTTTGAAAGTACCAGTCTGGCTTGGGAGTTGCTGAGAACCTGCACTGATGACATTGTGCCATCCTGAGCATCGCTGGAAATCAGGCTGGTTCAGAATGTTTCTAATTACAGACCACCCTGTAGCTGGTCTGATTTATTTTTTTTTTAAACCAAACCTTTGCTATGTCATCTTCTTAACTAATTGAGAGAAAATATCATGTCCTCTGTCTGCTTGGCAATTTAAAAAGAGTTCAGTGCATTGAAGTTCAGCAAGTCACAGCAAACTGCATGTCTAAATACATCATAAACCAGGAGTCTTTAGCAGGCAATAGCAAGGAGAGACATATGCTCAGCTTTTCCCTTTACAGCCTCTTCTAGCTGGGAAAGAATGTTCTTCATTAGGTTACAGTCTGAGTTAATAAGCAATACTGTCACCAAATGTTGTTTAGTGAAGGCTGCTCTGAGCAGTGAAAACTGCACTAATTTGTGGATGGATGAAAGGAAATTGGATGTTTTGGGCAGCTGTGCTGTGGCACTGGTGGTCTGTAGACATTGTACAAAGGAAGTGGCGTCCCTGATCGTGGCAGAGGGGCTGGAACTAGAAGACCTTCAAGAACCTTTTCAACCCAAACCTTTCTATGATTCTATGGCCAATGATACAATGATATTTATCAAGTGTAATCTATAAAGATGTAATCTATAGCATGTCTGGGTCCTGCTGATCTCCTGTGGCGGACACTACACCTGGAATTTGGCCTGCAAACTCTGAAATCAATGTGGATAACTGGGACTCAGTTACTGCAAGATAAAAACGACCCTTTAGCCTTTCATTTTTTTTCCCAGGGCTGATTTTTAACTACTCATTTGTAGATCAGGAGTAGCATTGTAGCATCCACTGAAGGGTGGGACTGGTGAACAGGAGTTCTAGATGTTGTACAAGACAACTTCATCTCAGGATATTCCAGAAGACAGCTGACAGTTTATACCAAAAGGACTTTATTGGAGAAGAGTGAGTCAGGTTAATTATCCTTTGAGTGAGGGCTAATTATCCTTGATGCCTTGGACAGATACTCGAGGGGTGGGGACCAGAACAAAGACTTTTATGTTGGCACTGATGTCTGAATTGTCAGATCCTCATTCGTGCAGCTGCCTCTTCCTTCCTCTGGACAGCTGTAAGGAGACTAGAATGGAAAGACAAGTTCCCTTGTCATAGGGAAAAGGGGAGGTGGTGTAACTTATATTTTTATTTTGAAATTAACCAAAGATTTGTCTCAGATAAATGAAAAAAATATTTCTTAGGTGTGTTATTAAAATTTTACACAAAGAGGGCTATTTGAACAGCCAAACTGTTCAGCCACCTGTGAGCCTCAGCAATGGGATGCTCAAATCAGACACCACAAAACCCTTTAGGACAATTACAGAAAGTGTATGCATCCATGAGTTTTTTCCAGTTTAATAGTTGCCTTATGTCTAAAACACAATAGTTGAGATCCATTCCGTACAAATTCTTTTTCTGTGTTATGCACCGGAGATGATCTCATTACCATTTAAATTTGTAATCAATTTTTAAAGCTTTTTAAGACCCTGGGATCAGTGCTACGTGGGACAGTGGCTTCCACAGGTTAATTATACACTGAAAGAGGAAATGTCATTTAATCAACTTTAAGTCCTCTATCTTTTCATTCCATGAAAATAAGCAAAACTAGTGTAACTAAAATATTTGAAGCAGAGGAGACTGCTGACACGACTCAGTATTTAGATGAACAGTTAGTGTCTGAGTGGGACAGTTAAAATGTGCAAAGCTGAGGAATTTGCATCTTCCATCAGTTCCCTCAGGGAAGGAAATAAAAACTTCTCTATGCTGAGTGTCTGTTTAGTTTTGTGACACATGTAGACACTGCAGAGCAGAGCTGACAAAGCTTTCCTCCTTCCAGCTGCCTGTTCTCATCCATTTCCAGGACAGGAAATCCAGCAGGACCCTCCTCACTGTGCAGCCAGAGCTGGGTCCTGTGTGTGCATCAAGGCTTCAACACATCCCTGCAGCCCCTCCAGGGTCCTGAGGGAGTTCTGCTGGCTGGGGGAGATTTCTGCTGCAAGAACAATTTATTCCCATGTGCTGCCAGGTCCCTGATTCCCTCCCACGGGAAGGACCCCTGGGAATGGGCAGCAGTTTGCATGAATGGCCCTTTGGGATGTAAATCCTACACTTGTACTGGAGGCATTGGGAATGACATGAAGCAAAGTAAAATAGGAGATGTCCAGGAGGTGTTGGTGGCAAATTTAATGGTGAATTGCCATTTCTTTATCTGCAAATCTCCCTCATCCTATCAAACAATATTTAATTAATATTTCTCTGGAGATTCCGCTTCTCTGACATAAAGGTGTGGCTGGGGCAAGTTCATTTATTTCTGTTCATGCGCACAGTTCTTTTGCAGTAACAATGCACTTGTTATCCTTTTTTTTGGTGAATTCTGTAAGTAACTCTTTCCTCTCCTTTTACAGGTGACACGGTAGCAAAGGCTAAACCTGAGGGCCACTCCCAGAACTATGGCACGTGGAACTGTTCCTTGGCTGTCACACAGAGACCCTTTTTTGTCATGCTGTTATTGACTTCACCCTTTGAATTTGCAAAGCAGTTGGGAAAAAGGGACAGCACTTCTCCTTTCAACTGTGGCTGCAGCTCCTGAACCTGGATTTTGCTGTTCAGTGGCACATTACAATCTTAAAAGAAAAATCAGGGAGATTTGGTTCTACCTGAAATGCACCTTGGATTCCCAAGGATCTGAGACCTGGCTGCAAATTGTGGAAGAACACACCTGAGCTTCTTGTGGTGCACCAAGGATAAGACTTTCCTAATGACACAAAGATATGTAAAGTTGTTTTAAATGAGTTTAGGTCATGAATGTAACTTAGGGGATCATAGAAAATGCTGATGTTAGAACTGGTACAGATGATCTCTAAGGTCCTTTCAACCTCTATGATTCTATGGATTTGTCTGAGGTGTTTCTTGCATACAGTACAACATAAAGATACAAAGCTGATCCCAGTGAATTGATGGGACTGTGTTAGTAAATTATGTCTTAATGTATTTTCAACTGTAATTTAGTACCTATCAAGGTGGTATGAAGGTGAAAAGATGGAACTTATAGAATTAGTAGCAATTATTGTAGGACAAACTTTGGTTATAGCTGTGCAATTAGATTTATTTCCTTAGATAGTTCTAGGTAGTTTAACCTTTACATTCATAAGTGATGGCAGGAAAGCATGAGGAAGAGATAAAATTTGAAGGCAGGCATAGTTTTTCTTGTCCTAAAATAAATCCATTCTCTAGGGGAATAGCAAAGTATACATATTCCTTGCCTCTTTGAATCTAGATATGGAAAAGAATTTAGCCATTAGCTAGAAATATTCATTGAGATGCCTCAAAAAAAAGAGAGAGAGGCTTGTACTGCATAAGGAAGGCTTACTGGAAAGGGAGTAATTTGTTTGGATTTTCGTTGCTTTGGTTATATCCTAATAGGTAACATACTTAAAATTCATAAGCAAAATTCTAGATAAAAGTAAATTTTCAGTTTCAATTAGTTCTTGTTTAGAATGATTATAATAATTAAATGTCCAGTTCCTTGACAGACTGAATTTCCAAGTGGTTACATTTTGAGACACATAATTGTTCCCTATTATTGTAGATGCATTTCATGCTCTTTTTCTTATTTGCCTGTTAGAGATTTTTTGTCATCAGTCTTCATAAATAGAATAGAGGGTAGAGGTGAAGCTGTAGCCAGTCTGCTCCCCGTGACATTGCAGCAGACTGAAGTGCAGTGGTGCAGATGAACTGCTGGTGACCCAGAGACAGAAGTCATTGTTATGCTTTATGTAAATATTGGGGTAACAATGCACATCCAATTTTTATACAGACTGAAAGGTGGGAAAAAAAAAGCTGTCTAGTACTAATGTAAGTCATTGTGCATAAGCTCTCTAGTGTAGGGGAAAGATCCCATCAGCAGTGGGAAGCTGATCAGGGTCATAATTACTAAATTCTGATTTGCTGGAGTGAGTGGGAGCATTCAGGCAGTTAATTCCACCACAGTCAGTGGTGGAAGGATCTGGCCCTGTGTTTTTTTGGTTTTGATTTCCTCGGTTTAGGTCACTTTCAATTGTGTATTTGATTACAGCTGGGATCATAGTGGTCATTGTACTCAGTGATAAGCAAACGAGATTTTCTGCTCTGTGCTTGGACAGCTGAACAGTTAATAGACTCTGCTTGCCCTAATGAGCTCTACATTCCCAATATTTTTCCATTGTTTTGATTTTCTGATTAAATTTTAAAATTACCTTTACTATTTCTATTGTTTCTCTGCATATATATTCATGGTGTCCTCAGAGGAGATCCTTTGCATTTGTTATTTGTACAGTATTGACCTGTAACTGGAATTTATTTATTTTGGTAAGTGTTCTATGGTGGTGTTTAGTTAAAACTGTTGCTGAGATGTTCTAGGTGGGGAAAAAAGAGTTTTAGAAAAAAGTTGTCTATTTTTGAAGGTAAATAGAAAGAAAACAAGTTACTTTCCAGTGGTATGTCAATATGGAAAGTTTTCAATTCAGTCCTACCTCAATGGGTGCAATATGTCACATGTTCTGAAATGGCCCCCTGGAAGCTTTTGCTGTCACTGAGGAAAGGGGAAAACTACAACATAAATTTGGTGGCATGGGACTATGAAATACAGCCCAAATAAATTACTTGCCTCCCTAGAAGCCCAGCCCATGGCAGAGATTTTATTCCCAAAGAAGCTTTGTTCCAGAGGATCTTGGGTGGATTTACAGCCTTTTCTGACTTGCTGCACAGGTGCCGCGATGTGTGCCTGCCTCTCGTTTTGGAGCAGTGCTGCTGCTTCCAGTGCTGTTGTCTGGCTTCTGACACCAGCTCTGCCCTTCTGCTGAGAGGCAGCAGAATTCAATCTGTGCCAGCTGCTCTGCCAGGGGAAGAAAGAGATCCGTGCCTCAGATCCTTGGTGTGCTCTCTCTGGAGCAGTTTGTGTCTCACTGCTGCTTCTAGATGAGCAGTTTTGGTAAGCAGCAATCCTCACCAGCTCTTTGCAGCCTCAGGCTGCTCCCACTGTTGAGCTTCTGGAGGCCAAATCCTGTGGGCCATCACACCCAGGGTTTTGTTTGGACAGACACTCTCCTGTGCTGGTTCAGAGAAAAATCCTCTTGCTCCAAAAGTGGCAATGTCTTTCCATGCAGTTTCAAACAAAGATTATTGCAGACACTTCTCTGATGATATAGTAATATCCACGCTGAGCTGATTCATATCCTGATTATAACTTTATCTTATTTCTTAACTGTGTTCTTTTTGTCCCTCATCAGGCTGACCCTGAGGCCTTTCCTTTCCTCCAGGTGACATTTGAGTAGGCATAAAATAACCTTGGCTTCTTCGTGGCCTTTTTTTCTCCCCTCTGCCTGCCTTTGTAGCCCTCCTTGCAGTTTTGGTGAATATTTTTGAACACAGATTGCCAGAATGGTGTTCTTTATTTGGCCTCTGCCATTGCTGGATTTTGGGAGTGTTGAACACTGCCAGGACTGGCTGGTGAGGAGCTCCATTCCATCCTGTCTCACTTTGAGCAGGAAGTGCCACTGCTCACTCCTCAGCCATTCCTTACCACCATCCTTCTCTTCTCCAGCTAGATAAGGAAATATCTGTGGTATCAAAATAAATGCTTGAATATATAGATTAAACTAGATCTATGGCATTTTATTTATCTAGAAATTAAATTATCATAATATAACTCCCTTCAAGGTTTCCCTTGCATCCTACAACTCTGTTAAATTCATGATAGATTTTTTCCATTTTCCATTAACCTCTAAGTCTTATCTTCAAGGATTTTTGTTCAAGTCTGGATCTAAAGAGAGTGGATAAATTTTTTACACTTGCTGTAAATTTTCTCAAGGGTTAGTTTATAACAAACCTACAACAATAGAAAATGGCTTTGAAGACTCACAGTTTGCTGGCAGACTGAAAAGACCCTGAGGTAAGAGAACAGTTAAGACTTCTGTCATAACAATAGATGCTTCTCTATCTATTGAGATAGAGATGATCCTGTAACAAATATTTGGGATAAATTAGTACCTCTAAACTGCAGTAATGTCACTTAAAGAACTGCTTTTTGCAGTGTCTCTCAGCAATGCACTGGGGTAATAATTCTGGACAAACTCAGAATGGATGTGTTCACCTTGGATGTGGAATGTATTGGTTATGGTTCAGGAGGGTGGTTTTTTGAAGGTTAAGGCTTCAGGGCTTCTCACTGCCTGGAAAGGAGAATTCTACACCTGAAAACATGAAGTATGTACTGTTTTTCAGTTCAGTTACCTTAGACTTTCAGAATCTCATTTTCAAGATTTTCAACTAAACAATGATGAACCTTGGAGCTTTTTTTTCTAAATGATGACTTTGCCTTGATGAATAAGCATATCTCCAAATAATTTCCTTTATGTTTTTTGCTGTTAAAATTACTTAAAAAGACAAACAAAAAAAAAGTGCCTGGGCAGAGTTAGCAGCTTTTAATTTAGAGTCTAGATCTCTGTTTTGTGAATACATCTCAGTTACCAGACTTTTCTAATTTGCATGAAATTTCACAAATGGGGGTTAGAATAACAGCATGTACCAACCTTCAGGAGACCTTTTGCATTTTATAAAGTACCACAGCTTTATTATGGTTATGAGGACAAAGTCACCCACCAGGAGAAATTGAGTAAAAACACTTCAGGGGCCATTCTGCCGTGCCCTGTGTGTATGAGTGTGACATTCCCATTAATACATAGAAATCCATGCACTCAAAAGAAGAGCAGTTTTGGTAGCATGTTTTATTGGTAGCATATTGTTATTACAATCATTTATGCAAAATGATAGTCAGTGAAATGCTGCCAGAAAAATCACTGCAGGCTGCTCTGAATGTGGAGGCTCAAGCCTGTGAAAAGCCAAAGTTGCATTTTACCAGCCCAAGATGGGTCCTGGAAATGAATGTATGTTTCTGGTCCTTTGAGGAGTAATGATTTGTAAAAGGTGCAGCCATGAGGGAGACTTAAGTGGAAAATCAGCTCTGTTTTCACTCTCCTGTCCCACTGCATAACAGCTTGCACCTTCAGTCTTTATACACTTTTCTGGACTGAAACTCAGAGATTTATAAATCTCTTCTAGCCAATGTAAGTTTTCCATTCTAGAAGGTGTCTAAGAGCGTGGTCAGAGCACAAGTGGTTAAGCAGTGATCTTATCAGGACACTGATAAGCTGAATTTAGCTGATTTAGCTGAAATGCTGGTACCATATTTCCTTGTGGTTATTAAGCAAAGTGAGGTACCTCAGGCTGCTGTAAAGGTTGCAGCTTTTAAAGCCCTCTTAACTCTCTCAGTTTTCTGTCTCAGCCATAACCTGCATTGTATCTGCCTCATAGAGGTTATTTAAGGACACTGGATAATCCAGCACTAGCAGTGACTTCTTAATTTTGGGATAAACTTTTTTATCTTTGTGAATGAAATTTTACAGAACTGACTCCAATTACGTGCTTGGTGTTTAGGCACTGAAGTCCTCCAGCAGAGAAATAGGAACACAAAAGTTTTGTTTGCTTACTGGAGCTGAGCTTCACTTGATCACAATCCATGCTGCCATGAGGTTGCATGGGTTGGTACAGGAATTTCCACAAAATTGTACAAATTGTAGTAGTTCAGCATCCCTTCTGCTCTTTAGTGTTCTCTCTGGGTGAAGGTTTGGGGATCCCATTGATGGTTCCTGGCTATAGAATCCTGATTTGTGCTCTTTGCAGTTTAAGGTTGTGGGTGGATGTACTTTTTCCCATTTTAAAAAAGCTTTGAACCACCAAAGAGGTTTTTCACAGAAATGCCTTCCAGTCAGAAAACTTCTTACTGGGTCTTCTTAGTAGAGGGAATGGTTGGCTCAGACATGAAAAGAAATCTGTGAGGGGCAAAGTTCATCCAACCCCACAAATGCTCTCAGTGAGCCAGAAGAGTGGCAATGTGACACGGGTAAGATAACTTTACCTCAGACACTTCATGTTACTGATACAAAGCATAATTCAAGATATTTCAAGGGCTCTTAACCTGTGGCCTTCATACCTGAAGCCTTAGAGGGCCACAATAAATTGCAAAATGATTTTCATGCAACTTAAAGGAACATCTACGAGGCCATCCATGAGCCACCATGAGAAGGAGATGAACATTACAGCAGTGGAAAAAGAGCCTAAAAGGCAGCACAAAATTAGTTACAGAATCTATTTATCTGCTGTACAGTACTTTGCAGATCCACCCAAGCTCATTGTGTGCTGGGTGATTTTCCAGTTTACAGAATCACGATGATTTTTTCTTTACCACGTTTTTTGACAGATATTCCCATTGCTTAAAATTCACCAGAACAAGTGATTTGCAAGCAAAATTGTCAGCTGTTTGCTTACCCTTTAAATTAAGTAGCTCACAAAGTAATCTACTACAGTGGTAAAATCAATGTAAAATGCATTACTCTAACTCCCAACAAAGTAAAATCGGTGCTTTGTAAAACAGCCCTGCTATTCACAGGACTAAACTCTGCTGTCACTGGGATTCCTGTGGAACTCCTGGAGCTGATGAGTTCACAGGGGTGCAGATGAATGCACGATGATGTTCTCTCTCTGCCTTTTGAAGATGTGCCTGCAGTCAGCAGGAGGCATTAGCAAATCCGTGAGGAATAGTGCAGGAAGAGCAGAGCAATGTGCTGCTGCTTTCAACAACTTTTTCGGGGCCTTTGGAAAGTCATGGGAAAAGTGCTTCCTCCTGCAGTGGCCCATGGCTTTCAGAGCCTGAGGATTAGGTGCACAAGTGCCTGCCCACGTTAGCAGTGAGCTCAGGGCTTCTTGGTTCTGCTTAATGTGCATTTTTTACACAGGGATGGTGCAAGATGTAGTGTGGCTGTGCTGAGTGTCTAAATATGTATTCCAGGCCTTGCAAAGAAGAGGCCAAGGGGGCACTCCCACCCTCAGATGGATCAGGGTGTGTGTGAGAGGATTGAGCTCTGCCCCCACACGGTGCTGTGTCCAGAGATGTCCTCTCTGTTCATGTGCTAAGAATCCAGTCTTCTGACAGCAGGAAAACACAAACAATTGCAGAGGGGATGTGAATTCCTGCAGCAAGGGCTAGAAAGAACGTTTTTTGTCACTTAAAGCAAAGCAGACAAGGTAGCGCATCCCACAGGACACTAATGAGCCACCTGATAACACCGAGTGCACACCTGACCCCTTGACACGGGAAGCGAGGATGACAGATGTACTGTCAAAATACAAATCTATCAACTTCATCAT